TTCAATCAAATTCTATCATGATTGACTCCACAATTCCACCTAATATAACTTCAACCACAAGAACTTCAATTCCAATTCCTACACCCATAGTTACTGTTCCAACAACAACCACTCCCAAACCTTTAACCACAACCACATAACATAATGAAGCTAGTATGTTTGGTGGTGATAAGAATCTTGTTGTAGATGATTTTAATGTTGGAGGTTGTGACAACCCGAAATTTTCATTCGGTCAAACTCTAAAGTCAATCACTTCAATTTATAAGTCAAGTTCATTTTTATTTGTTTTTAGCAAATTTAAAGTTGGTTTGATTATTTTAATAATTATTCTTAAACGAACGGGTGAAAGGAAGTGTCGTCTCGAGTCTTGAAATTCCAAAACCGCAAGTACCACGTAGTTATGAGATTCACGGCCAAACTTTTATGTTTGGGCCGTAAATCCCTCTAAAACCGTAAACTTACTACCCAAAATACTTCACTTCTTACTTGCAATCTCAAGAGCAAACTCCAAACACTCTCAACTACCATCCCATCTTTCACCCGATTTCCCGAAAACGTAAGTACTTCTTGGCGTGATTTGTTGTTATATCATAACAACTAGTGATTATACATCTTTTAATCCATCAAATTTCGTGTTTTGATTAGATTTCCAAAACACCAAGAACACACACTAGTGTTCTTGGACTTTTAGCTCATTTCAAGCTTCCATATAGTAAATACTTCTATCCATGAGTCTTATAAAGCTTGCTATGCATCTATACATCAAAGAAACTCAAGGAAACACCAAGATCAAAGGTGTTTACGGTTCAAGAACTCCTTGAACCGTAAACCCTTCTTTAAGGGACAAAGTGTGCCTTAGTCCCTTCCTTCCTTGTGAAACTAGTCTAGATCCACTCCTTATTGTGTATAGGACTTGAAAACATGAAAATACCACTTTCCATATGGGTTTACGGTAATAAACCCAAAAGGAAATGGCCTTGGGACCGTAAACTCATCAAAGGAATGTAATGATGCCCTAATCTCTTCCAAAGGCCTAACCATCAAGTGGAAATGCTTCAAAGGACTTGTAAAACCTCAAAACAACATATGGCCAAAGAGTGATGAGTTTACGACCGTAAACTCCAAAGGAGTTTACCCTTGAACCCTAAACACAATAGCAAGGTCCTTTAGCACTTAGATGCAATCCTTATGACTTTTAGCACTTATATAAGGTGTTTTACATGCCTTAGTATGTCTTAACTTTGTCAATTAGTGGTTTAAAGTCTAATTGAATACATATATGTGTGATTATATGTTAACTAGGATCATTGGGTGTGAACAAGTCTTCACTTGTCACCTAGCAATCCTACATCTTTCACTTTATCCGAACCACCATCTACAAGTGAGTTCATACCCCTTAATCAATGTTTTAAATGATTTTAAATGCTTTAATAGGAGGAACACAAGTATAAAACAACATGTTATAGATTCAATCACATGTGATTTATAATTGTGTTTTCAACCAACTGATTTCACATACTTCAAAATGTGATACATGAAATGGTTTTCAGTCTTAAAATACTTTGTTATCAAATGAATTACTTTTGAAATATATATATATATATATATATATATATATATATATATATATATATATATATATATATATTGATATGATAACTTTCATCCTTCATTCAGTTCCCACACTCTTGTGTAGCAAGGGTGTATAAATCTTCTTGGACATCAACTACCTTCTAGTAAACTATTATAGGGATAGTTAGGGGATACAAAATATTATTCCTATTACAAGGAATTACACCAGAGTCAGTTCATTCATGAGTCTATACTAAATGCTATATGAAGAGATACACTTACATGGATACTTGTACCTTGATACTAAATGATGAGATACTATTACATATCGTACGTGTAGTTTAGTTCTGTCTATCCTAGTACAAAGGGATATCATACGGGACTAACCATTCCGACACCCACCTGTTAGCAACAGAGGTAATGAACATCTACAGATGCCTACGGTTAATACTTATACTAGGGGTACCTTTACGGGACTAACCATTCCTACACCATGCTGTTAGCTACAGAGGATAATGAACATCTGCGGAAGTTCAAGGTTAATACTTTTCGGCAGTCACGATGTCGTGTTTATTCTAATACAAAAGGATAATACTTATATGGCTATATTTTCCATATTACCTTTATTTTGTAATACGCTCACATAATCGATGAGGTAGACTATATATTGTTAATAGTAGTCATACAGGGGAAAAACCATCTTTATTACTTTCAAAACATTCAAGTCTTGGTAGAAGACTACTTTTATACTAGTAGGAAATATGGGATTTTCTAGGGTTTTCATACTTATATCAAATGTTCATTAAAAGATTTACATGGCATTCATAACAGCTTTCCAAAACAGAGTAATGGCACTTAAATACTTATGAATTCACCAGCTTTATGCTGATACTCGCTTTCAAAAGAACATGTATTTTCAGGTCACAAGTAGACAGGTACGATAGCCATGCTTTTGAGAAGACAGAGCACAGACAAGACTCGTCTTTTATTTTGATTTCATATTTTGGTGTCTTATTACTATCAAAGAACACACATGTATTAAAACTTTACTTTTAATGCAATGGATGATGTTGTTGCTTGTTTACTACTTTACATTGTTATGATACTTCACATGACGTCCTCCACCCCTGAACGTTTCCGCCATTCTTGGTTTTGGGGTGTGACAGATTGGTATCAGAGCATTGTTTATAGTGAATATAGTATATCAACCCATAAAAGATATACTATAAATACATTGAGATTAAAACACTCTGACTAAGAGTTTATACTTTTAAATAAAAAAAATATATTTAAGTAAGTATACGTGCATGCATTCATACTAAAATCGATGTCACAACAACAAGAACAAAAGTATTACGATTGTTCACTACTAGAAAAAAAGCCTTTTAAGACGCTCATTACGCGTCGTAAAACGCTCAGACGACGCGCAAATGCGTGTCAAGGAAGGCCATATCATAAAGAGAGACGACGTGCATTTACGACGCGCATTTACGACACGCGGTTATGACACGCAATGCGTATCAAGGAAGGCCCTGTAATAAAGGAAGATGACACGCATTTGCGTGTCGTAACCTTACGACGCGCGCGTTTATGACACACAATGCGTATCAAGGAAGCCCTTGTCAAGAAAGGCCATGTCATAAATAAAGATGACACACATTTTTGCGTATCATAATTTTAAATGTTTAAAAAAAATATTATTTATAGATTTACTAATTTTTCATATTAAATAATACATTAGAAATCTCATAATAATAAATAAAATACCATAAATAACAAAGATAATTCATTTCACTAATATGTCAAATACAAATAATTATTCCAATAGTGAGTAAATGTTATAAAAAAAATGAACTCATTTATATACAATTGCATTATCTAGCTTACTATGTGCCAACAACTTCTATCTTTTTCCTTCTCTGCATAAACTTCATTAGCAACATCCTAAAGAACTTCTATCTTTTTCATCAACAACATCCTCAAAAACTTCTATCTTTTTCCTTCTCTGCATAAACTTGTATCTCACACTCAATGTAGTTTTAAGCATCAGGTTTAAAAAATCAAGTTTGTGAATCTCTTTTGCAGCACATCAGATGTGCTTTTTCCTTGAAATTATGTTGCTACTTGAGATTATATAGAAAGGAAATGTGATTTGGATAAGAGAGAGAGAGAGAGAGAGAGAGAGAGAGAGATAGATAGATAGAGAGAGAGAGAGAGAGAAACAAGATATGAATAAAATAGTTACTTACACAGAAATGTTAACCAGCATTATAATTTATACGAATGCAATTCTCTTGAAACAGGGGTCCGCATCCAAACTCACAGTAGCACATCGAACCCTATCCTGTGACATTATAGAAATATGATAAATTTCAGTAAAATGAGCAAATTATAACAAGTTATACGAGGGCATATACCTAGAAACTTGTCGACGTCGAACTCCTTGGTCAATCCAGAAAGAACCCCCGAAAGATCCCTTTATCACTTGAGGCATTTAATAATAGAAGTTCTAATTGTACACATTGAAAGATGAAGGACATGTTTGTAATTACTGAGACTTAATTAGTTTGAATCTCTTTCCTCTTATATATAAAATATCTATAACGAGTCTAATTGCATCTGATGAAAAGCCAAGGGAAAAGGAGTCTTTAAAGCAAAGAATTCATGAGAGGTCCTAAGTAGCAGGGGCAAAAGGTTATTTAATCCAATTACTTCATGCCATCTTTATGGAACCCACTCATGCAGCTTCGAATTCAGATGAGGTGCTAACTAAACTATGTTCGGTAACCCACTCATGCACATCAACCTGAAAACAGTATTGAAAAAAATCTGTTAAGCTAAAAATAACAGGGAATTAATGAATAATAGCAACACAATTTTCCTTTTTTACCAATGTGAGTATGCAGACTTCAGTTTTTACCAATATGGTTAGAATCAATATGCATTAGCCATATTGGAGCACAATGATTGATGGAGCACAACTGATTTGTATGTCTTGATTATGATTGAACTGAGAAAATAGGAAAACTTAATGTGAAAAAAAACTTTTAGTCTACATTACAAATTGAAATGAACTTCATCAAAAGTGTGCATTAAGGAGAAAAGAAAAGTATACCTGTAATTATAGTTTTTCACTTGTCAAATATTGTCTAGTTTAACAGCCTTGAATCCAACCTCATCACTTGTCAAATACAACCATTGCCTTTAAATTTTAAAATAAACATCATAACATAGTTACATTGCATCTCTTTTTTTGTATAAGAATGTATTAGACTCAAATTTTAATTTAATTTACTCCAGACCTGATTCCCATACACTCTGGAAAGCTGTTATAAGCTGCTCTTTCCCGTTTTTACCTGAAAAAGAAAAACAAAAGTACATGAATTATAGTAATCATTGTATATGAAATGAAATATAAAGAATGAACGTCAGTTGCCTACTCCTGTTTTTAGATAATCTTCTGCAACATAAACAACATCACTCCCGATAGATATCTTATCTGCACCAGATCTGAAATATTCTGAAGCCACCTCCAAACTAGAATAGTACCTATATTATTAATATTTTAAACAATTATTAAATTCTTCACAACAACATATTACATATTACATATTTACAATTAACACTTAACAGTACCTTCCATTTGCATTAGTGAAATCTTTGATACCACCACCAACTGTAAGTGGTACAAAAACATTCTCTGACGTGTATTCAAAAAGCTAACCTGCAACATGTTACAACTCAGTAATAGAATGACTCATTCCATTCCTTTCTATCCTAATACCTAATATGTAATATGTAATATGTAATATGTAATATGTAATATGTAATATGTAAGAATGAAAAGATAGTAATTAAGTACCTCATCACCCCGTCTAAGTAATACTGTCCAGCAAGTTCAGCTGGCTTCCCTAGGTTCCTCACCTATCACACCATTTATTTATTCAACAAAAACTTCTTAAAAAAATCCAGATTGCTATTGTGGTGCTGTTGTGGGACTACAATCGATGTATATGAAAACTTTTCCTTTGTGGGGGGATGAACAACTTAGTCATCCTAATTCAGACTGCTATCAACAAAGTTCAAACATAACAAAAGTTGATTCCAACATAGAGAATTAATATCTAATGGAATAAAAGAATCACCCCAACTTAAAAAAAGGAAGGCTTCTGATTGGATTTGGGTTCTCACTGTGACATCATCAATACATCCTTCCTCTTCCTCCAGTTATGTTGCTCTAACAATCAGAACCAACATCAAGTTTAGGCAGCTTGTGCAGCCACTGCTTCCTACATCATAAATCAAAAAATAAACACTTTAATAGAAAAACAAAGCATATGTAACAAGAAGAACAAGGAAGACATGAATCACATTTTAATGACAATCACACTTCGCATTCAATAAGAAAAAAAAACAGGCGTCCTTGGAGAAGGTATGTCTAGCCTAGTAGAGTGCATGATGCTTCTCCAGGAATGGTGATTAACTAAAAGGCCATTGGACAGCAGATCAAACTGAATCCAGGCTATGAAAAAGTCATAATTACACATGTAAATCACACATTTGGTCCCAGTCCTTTACCAAACTTGTGATTTTGCCACCAAATTTGTAATTCGCTCTAAAAAAAGTCTTATCAACTCTGTTTTGCACAGCAACCAAACACTCTCTGAGTAAGTTTTAAGATCTAATACGTGCATGTGTGAAATACAATAGAGACAGCCTAAGACATCTTGATAGATAAGTGTAATACATTTGCTACGAGCCCATAATGGTGAAAGATGTAGCTGGAAGGACTACACACTAATGCAACCTGAATGAGAAATTGATAGCCATGAGCATTATGAATGTCTTGTTATGTGACAAGTGATTTACATCTCTCTTCGATTCAAGATTCATCTCAATTTTACTCAAATACCCCCACCACTCCCTCTTGTTAGTAATCTAACAAGAAATGATTGCAGACAGTTAACTTTTAACAGGTTTCTGTTAATTCTGTTAATAGGATTCTGTTAGGTTTCCGATTTCATCACAGGGGTTGGGCGTTCTATGTCAGCAGTACCACTCATGGTTTCACTGTCCATGCTGGCAGTCCAACTCCTCATATTCCTTTGTTCATATTTTCAAAAGTCAACCATGTTGGAAATCGATCAAAATAACATATTAATAGAGGGTAGTTTTGTCTTTTCAGCAGTTACTCTTTCAAGTACATAAGGCCTTTGTACCTTAACAGCAATCAAATCCCCAAACTATATCCTAAACTACCAGAACTGCCTGAACTCTCACAGTTCCAAGAAATGGTGCCCAAACTGTATCCTGAAACACATAACATGGTGGATGAGAAGCTTCAGTTAGAAATTGGTGGTTTTTCACCTGATGTAGATGTAGAATGGGACAATAATTTGCTGACCGGAATGGAGAAATATCTGACCACATATGACCTGTCATGGGAGCAGTATATTGAGGGGAGTCTAGAGGTTGACAAGAACAATGCCATTGAAGTAGGAGGTCTGAAATATAACCTGAGATCAGCTAAGTTATATATATTTTTTAATTATGTAACAAGCCAACAAATTTGATATTGAAATGAAGCTTAAGTTCATGACTAATTTACCTTTCAAAGTTATATAAATGTGAGTGAATTTGATATTAATGCCTCGAACTTGATATTACTGTCTCCAATCTATCTAGAAATTTACCTTACTATCTCCACCTGGCACCAGACCCTGAAAAATAACAGTTCAGGGTACCAACCTCTGTCATTTATTTTGCAGTTTGTATATCCCTAAAGATGCAGCAAGCAATCCGTGTACTATCACATTTGTTGCAACCAATTTTATAATTTAAAAAAATCAGACTCAAAACAAGAAATAATTATATATTTTGAATTTTATAATAATTACCTGCATATCTTCTAATTGGTGAGGTGAAATGTGTATAAAGTAATAAAGAGGTGCAACAAGCCCATAATGGTGAAACTTCGGGGGGCTAAGATCCCCACTACAGAAGTAAACAACCTTAAGTGGAAATTAGTTTATTTTGTTTGCTTTATTTAAAAAAATAAGATTAAGCCAATTATGATTTAAGAATAGTAGAATACCAACCTGTGTCATACATCTAGTTGCTAGGATACAGATCAATTTATTGAAGTATGGATCATCACCCTGCTTTTTATTTTTTATTTTTTTATAAGATAAAATTTAATAAAAAATTAGTTAGAGACTTTTATAATGATCAGTGAATGAAATTGGAAAGTCAAACTAACCACAGCCCAGTCAAGTGAGTCAGCAAGTGATTTGGATGATGACACATCAAGGTCAAGGCCAACAAAAGCAAAAATGTGTAATAAAGGTTCAAGCATTTCTTTTGTTGGACTTGGATGTCGCTTGTAAAAAATATTTATTTACTTAATCAAAATATAATATATCCATCAATGTGATTATCTTAAATAGTTAGCAACTCTACATTAACAGATCACAGTTGTGACCGTATTGATGGATTCTCATATTGAGATAGTAAAGGGAATCAAATCAGTTTAGAAATTGTAAGTAAATGAGATTCAATTCCTATTACATAAATTAAATTCCAACTCCTAAACACTAAATTGATTTTTTTATCATTATCAAAACACAATTGGCTGATTACTACTCATGTGTATGTATAATAATAGTAAATTGAATCTAATAGGAATACATAAATTTTTATTTACCTGTGAGGTTGTCACTGTGGTAGGTTGCTTTGAACCTTGCTCATTAATCTTTGGACAATCCCCTTTTGTTTCAAACATTTAGTCAAACACCTAGTGTGCATAAAAAAATCAGGTACATATATCATAAAATATTAACAATTCCATGAAAATATATGAGAGAGGGTAAAAAGCCACAAAAAATCGTCCAAAAAGAAGGACCAGTGGGACATGAAACAGGTAACTATGGTTGAAAAAGGAAGAATTACCTTTGAAATAGGCCTACTACGCAGATGAAATAGGCAACAGTGGTGGTATAGTGGTGGTTCTGGGCTATTGTGAAGGCAGTGTGGTGGTGGCTCAGGGCTGGTGTTGTGGTGCGATGTTGTAACGGTGGAGTCTGAAAGCAAACACAAATTGGATGGAAGCTATTGTTGTTGGTGATGTCCGATTCATCAAAAGAAAATCATTCTTCGATCAATCTTCTATTTTGTGAAAGAAGATATTACTATTTCAAATGTGTTATGTTTGATTAGGGTTTGCACATAGAAGGAAGTGAAAGTCGATCGGAGAGGAAGGGTTTTGCAGAGAGAAAGAAGGGAGAGAATGAAGTCGATTTTGGCGGGTGTAGAGAGTAGAGAGGAAGAGGAAGCGGGTGTGCAAAATTTTGGGGGATTTAGTTTCCCCCCTTACCTATCAAGGAGTCCCAGAAACGCGCGTTTATTAAAATTATAAAGCGACATTTGTAGAGGACGCCCTTTTTATTATAGGTGCCCTCCGTGTTTTTAATATTTTTACATGAGACACTAATTTAAGGGCACTCAGTAATGCGCAACCTAAATCCTTAAATTTTTTGAAGAGATGACACTTTTTTAATGTCGCTCTCTAATGCGTAACATAAATCAAAGAGCGTCGTGTTTTGCGCGTCGTATAAGGGTCTTTTTCTTGTAGTGGTTGAATATCACAAGTGAGCCTGAGGATATATGGTCATTCTTGGGAGTGGCATAGCCTGATCAACTATGCTAATCCAAGGAGTGATTAGCATATGCCCAAGAATGGTTGTGATGTGGCAACAAGTCTAAAAACTTACCAACACAACTACAAATAAATACCATATGGGTATTTGGTCTTACTTTAATTACTTATTTGAGAACTAAATAGATTTTTATTAATATGTCAATAGTTTTTTAGTGGATACACTAAACAAGTATTGAAGCAACTGATAAAGATCATCTTATAATTATCTTAGTTAGTTTGTCTAGTTAGTTATTTCTTATATCCCTTTTCTCGCGTAGATATCATGGCTGGATTTCACCACGGTGACCCATACTTCCCGAACCAAGGCAACGCTGGATGGCTAGAGGAAGAACCAGAAGATTATCACCTAATCCCATTGGATGATCACCATGCTGAGGGTTTTTCTGATAGTTCTGACTCGGTGCCTGAAGTCAACAACCTACCTCTAGCTGCTCAAAACCCAAACGTGAACCCCCGTCCCGCATTTCAAGGACCCAAGCCTCTGTGGGCCACAAACTTGAATACATGGAGTCGGGAATAGGGTCAACCTATCCCTACAATGGTGACAAAAGCTTCTACAACCTCACCGACGGAGGTTCTGCTGATAGGGTCCTACCCATCATAGTTCATAGGATTTCTCGGAACATGATATTGGGTCAATCAACTATCAATCGAGTCTTGGAGATTGATGCCAACTCTGGTGTTAACATTATCCGCATTCGCCAACTAGAGTCTGCTCAAGAAAGGACTCTAGTTTGCAATGCAACTCTATAGAGAGAACTTGCTGAAACCCTAGCTGAAGTTAGGGAACTTCGAGCTCAACAAGTGAGAGCTGACAGGCGTATGAGGGACATAGAACGCCTACTATCGGGATCAAGAACTCATGCTAGCAGTTCTCGTCGTCGATAGAATCTTATTGACTCATCTTTTGGATAAAACCTAGTTTATGTAAAAAATTTGGTTTAATTTCCTATCCTTGTAAATCTTAGACCCGTTAGGTCCTGATCTAGTCGTAGTTCTGTCAAAATTTTCCTATCTTGGTTGATGTAAGGCCTATTTCTAGGCCATTTTTCCCAAACTTGTTACATCTGTAATCCCAGTATTATTGACAGATATCTAATCATATGGAAAATTTTATCCAACTACTAGCATCTTCATTCAATCATACTATTCATTGTACTGTTGCACTATGGAGGATTAGTCCATGAGTCACCCTCATTACTCAATTATTCTTATCAATGTTATCATCTTTTTAAACGTATAGTAAAAGATGCTGCCATGCAGGAATCCTAGGAATAACCCAAATAACGAAATGCCTATACCACCACCTCCTCCACCACCTCAACCTCCTCAACCACCTCCTCCTTTCAATGCCACTATGTTCCAGGCAACATTCACAGCAGTCGTAGCAGCTGCTGTGTCAGCCATTAATACTCCTGCCCCTAGTGGATTGGGAACAGGTGCACATCCTTCCAACCATGGCAAGAGCCATGGGCATCCCAGGGAATGCACCTACAAGGACTTTACGAATGCTAAACCCTGGAACTTCAATGGAATTGGTGGGGTTATGGTCTTAAGGCAATGGATTGAAAAGACTGAAGTGGTCTTTGAAATCTGCGCCTGCCCGGAGGGCAACAAGGTCAAGTTTGCTACTTGTATCTTCTCTGACAGAGCACTAACTTGGTGGAATGGCCATGTTAAGTCTCTGACTATAGTACATAGGAAACTCGGCGAGTTGAGGAGTTACTCGGGAACTCAACGAGTTGTTGGATGCACTCGACAAGTTGAGGTCAATATTGACTATTGACCTTGACTTTAACTAGGTTTGACTAGAGTTGACTTTGAGGATAACTATGGTAATGCAGGATTATGAAAAATCACTTACATGATGATTATAGGTTGTTGATTTGGGAGCAGCAAGTGGGATTTATCTAATCTTAACCTGGCAGTTTAGTATTCACGAGAGGTGAGTCGCCTCACCATTCTAATGGGTTCAAGGCACCAAGGACGACCTATTTTATGATATGTGGTACACTAGCTGAAGTTATATTATGAGACATGATAGTTGGTTATGTGCTAGAATGTATGCTAGTTTTATATGTTGTATGTTTGTATGGAAGACCATGAGAGAGCTCATGACACTTGGATGTAAGACCATGTGGAGAGCCCATGACTTTCCTATTAAAGACCATGGGAGAGCCCATGGCAACCAGATGTAAGACCATGTGGAGAGCCCACGGCTTTCCTATTAAAGACCATGGGAGAGCCCATGGTAACCAGAGGTAAGACCACGTGGAGAGCCCATGACTTTCCTATTAAATACCATGGGAGAGCCCACGTCACTTAGGTGTAAGACCATGTGGGGAGCCCATAGCATCCTAGAGTAAGACCCTGGGGACGAGCCCACGACATCCTTCTATGTTATATGCATGACTTATGTGGCATATGTAGCTTTTGTAGCTAATACGATATGTGTTTACATGGATTGTATGTGTGTGTGGTATGCTCTGGGGAACTCACTAATTTATTTGAAAATTTGGGTCGTTATAGGTAGATTTTTCAAATTTAGTGTCGGAACATTTATAAGCTTGGAAGTACAATGTTACATAAACGGGATAGATTAATCAAAATTGAATGCTTTAATAAGAGAAAAAAGCTAGAATGTCATGCTGCAAAACCATATATAAGCCTGGAAGTAATTAACACACCTTATATTATTTGAATGTTGTCTAATGTGAGTTTCTATAATTATAAGTTAAAGTTGTTTTATTAAAAATATTTAAGTTTGATTTATTTATAATCAAGATTTATAAATAAAGACATATATCAAAACAAAATAAGCAGATTGATATGGGCATATTTAGTTATAAAAATCATGCATGATCTTAATACTCTATGTTAATTTTATCTCAAATAATGAATCAAAGGTGCTTAATTAGCTTGAATATTTCATTTTCAGTAACAAAGACATGCTTGGATGGAAAAGGAAGCGGAACTAGCTATTGGAAGCTTGGAACTTGGATTTTGAAGAAAGAAGGATGTTGCTGGATAGTTTGACCCCTCGTCAGTGTTTTGGCCATATCTCATGAACCGTAACTCCGATTGATGAGATTCAAAATGTTCTGAAAACTAGACACAATTTCGGATGACTTTCGTGTTTTGAGAAAATGCTGATTCCAAACGTACTCGGCGAGTAGGGTCGATTACTCGCCGAGTTGGTCCGAAGTTTCGCGATTTTGGACGCGCTGACTTGCCGTACACGGGTTTTAAGTGATGGACTCGCCGAGTAGGTCAATGGACTCGTCGAGTAGCCCCTGTTTTGTGAAAATCTATATAAAGGGACTTTCAGATCGATACCCTAGCATATGGATGAACCCTTGGAGGCCAATTGTCGACTAAAGGTGTTGTTGGAGCGTGGGAAGCAAGGGAATCAACCCTACATTCAATTTTAAGGAGAATCAAGTCAAAATCAAGTTTACTCTTACCTAATCTCTTGTTTGAACTATGTTTTTACCAATTGATTTCGTTTTTGTGCTTGTTTCTGCTGTAATCATGAGCTAAAAACTCATAACTTCTGTTTGGGTAGACAATTTTGTGAACATGGATTAATTATTTGAGTAGGATTATTTTAATTGGTGATTATGTTTTATTAAGCTTGT